ATTTAATTCTATATCTCTATCAAGCACTTTAATTATACTTACAATAAATATTTAATTCTATATCTCTATCAAGCACTTTAATTATACTTACAATAAACATATAATTCTATATCTTTTTTAACCACTCTGTTTATACTTACAATAAATATTTAATTTTATGTACGTATCAAATGCATCTTTTGTAGGTATAATAAACCTTTTGGATTACGTAGACGATAATCCACACACTAAATCCACGAATGATAAAAATTTTAATTTTATGTACATCAAACAGATTTCTTCTATATTCTTTACTAATTATGTGTACCAAACTAACTTACTTGTTGTCCTGACGTGAGGTATCGATGAAACAGACCGAATCTTCTGTCTTTACTCTAGCTACCTATCTCGTTATACTTTATTCCAGTGACGAGAGAAGGAAGTAACGCTGTTTATTGGCGTACCTACAGGTGGTAATTTGTGAAGTACTGCGAAACGTCAAATAACTTTTACAGTCGATCTAATCATCGCTCTTTACCTGTCACGTGAAACTTTCAACATCTAAGGTCATCTGTAAAAGAAGTGCTGTAATTTCTTGAAACAAGTTGCAAACATAAAAGAAAAATATAAATTCTGAAACTAGACTTGAGCTATCCATCTAAAGCTGTACTAGGAAAAACCCATTAGTCTACTGGGACTTATCACTCAACTGGGACATACCATAACTTACATTTCATTGGAAATCTGTTAATTAACTAAAAAACAAGTCTTTCTTCATTCCACTCGCCACCTCTGTGGTGTAACCCTCTAATACACGTTTAAAATGAAGCGGAATGTAGTACACCCGATATAGATACATATAACACAAACACTTAAAGGTGTTATTGTACGCTAATAATATAACGATAGAAAGAAAAGCGATTATAATTAATGGGTAAGTTGTGTGATGCTACATCATAACAATACTGACTAGAGGTAAACTGATTGTAATTGGTGGTGAAGTTGTGTGATGCTACATCACAACAATACTGACTAAAGATTACCACCACACCTAACATGGGTTATTGTAGTGGTTGATAGTCACTAATCGAGTGGTTACTACATGTCAGGGTTTTATGTATAAGTGGGCTAAGGATTCTTTTACAGTAGGTGTCTGTGACTTGTTGGCGATAAATTCCACAATAAACGGACAGCACACACTCCACTTGTTTTAAAATAATATATTCAAAACAAGTTAAGCGTATATACAAAAATGCTTTACATTATGGAAATCACAGTTGTATCTTAAACTCTAAATAATTATCTCCTTTTCGTGAATGTCCACACAGACGGGTTCAGTTACTTTGAACATCCTTTGACAAGACAAATTATACTCATTGTCTCCACTAAACTGTGAAACTCACTTTAAAATATCGCCCGTTACGGCTAATCATTCACACGCTGGCTAACTTCACGTATTCTAAATTTTTACTGACTGAACTTTACGTGACTTTTTCTCTACTAAACTTGCACTCGCGAGTTACCTATATATATATATATCCCGTTCACTGAATGCTCGAATTTTCTATAAACTACGCAAGCGGCACTGTAATCAATTATACACACTTAAGGTAACGAGAAAAATACCGAAGATTCGAGTAAATTGGTGTCAACAATACCACAACAAGTGAACCACACACAAACAAGGTACGACTCTTACCGAGTTACGCAACAAAACTTGTCATAACTATCGCCTTTAAAAATGATTAACTTTTAACACTCTTGTTATGAAAACTAAACAATTATTAAATATTCATTCACAAAAGACATTAAATAATAACGCCTACACTAAACAGTCTTGTATATCCAACAATAAGCCTCTCTTCAAGAAAACTATTTACAATATTTTTTTACACTATATACATATACAAAGACTGTCCTTAGTTCATATCCTAAGTCTTTCCATGTAGTCTACACCAACATTTCTAGTTTCCTTATTGGTCTTTCTTCTCATAGATCCTCCTGTAGGGCTTTACTTTGACAGAATCCCTTGTCTTCTTGATATTATGTTGCCTGAGGTCTGTTTTTCCTGATCTGTCTGTATACTGGCACAGTAGATCTTGTACCTAAGTTCATATCCTAAGTCTTTCCATGTAGTCTACACCAACATTTCTAGTTTCCTTATTGGTCTTTCTTCTCATAGATCCTCCTGTAGGGCTTTACTTTGACAGAATCCCTTGTCTTCTTCTTGATATTATGTTGCCTGAGGTCTGTTTTTCCTGATCTGTCTGTATACTGGCACAGTAGATCTTGTACCTCTTTCTTCTTCTTCTCAGTCAGTTAGTCACTTATTTTGACGTCCTTTTACGTCTCATCTTCACCAAGTAGTCTTAGGTCTAGTAAGGTCATTATCTTCTATAACGAAGTCACTGTCTTCAGATTCTGCTTCGATGACAGCCACACCTGCCATGTTCATCTGTACCTCAATAGCTGCACCCGTAAGATCTTCTTACAGAACAAAAAAGTGTTACTTAACTCTGTTTTCTAAAGTATTTAACTAAGAATATTGAATATCAAAAACTATTTTAACATAACATAACGTTTTGGGAGAACATGGGACCTATTGGTCCATCTCAGCTGTTCCATCCTCTAAACTAAATTAAAATAAAAATCTTAAAGTCAGCCTTTATCGTTCATATATTTATCAAACTTTTTCTTAAACTCACTTAAAGACCCATTCCAAAGACCAACCACCCTGTTAGAAAAATGAAACTGTCTTAGCTGAAAATGACTCCTACCTTACCAAAATTTATATTTATGTCCCCTAGTTCTACTATTCTCCCTGTTAAATATGAAAAAAGATGATGCATCAACATTATCAATTCCCTTTACAAACTTAAACACCTCAATCAGATCCCCCTCTAGCTCTTCTTTTTTAAAGAGAAAACAATTGGAGATATTTCAGCCTCTCCTCGTATGACAACCCCTCCATCCCAGGCACCATTCTGAACCCTTTTCAACAATTCAATGTCTTTCCTAAGGTCAGGAGCCCAATACTGAACACAATATTCCTAATGTGGCCTAAACAGTGACTTATACAATGAAATTGTTACTTCTTTAGACTTGTATTCAACATTTCTGTAGATACAACCTAAAATACTATTTGCCCTACCACTAGCAGCAGCACATTGCTTGGATGGCTTTAGAGACTGATCGACCAAGATCCCTTTCTTTCATAACAATGTAAAGGTTATTCCCTTCCAAATTATATTTATAATTCAAATTATGATAA